AACGTTTGATGTGTGACGCGTCATTCCTATTTTATCTGTGATTTGGGCGCAGTGGTGGTTTCCCGTAATGACCCTCAAAGTTTTTGAAAACACAAAAACCCGGGAAAAATCGTTATTTATAAATTTGAACATAAAATGTCTTCAGAAAGGACAACATATTATAAATAACTCGTGTGACACAGCTAATAGCTATACTTCATCGACAGCGTATTCAGCAATAATTTTCTTACATGCCCTGCATTTCATATAAAAGACACTAGTGTATGTTACATCATGGAGTGACGACTTTGAGGTGTCAAACGATCATAAGGTTTGTAATTCCAGAAATTTGTCAGCTTTAATGATACTGACTCACAGGTTGTCCTCTACAGACCCCAGAGCACATAGAAATAGGGGTATTCAATAGGCTGCCACAGAGTCTAAGAAGTTTATCATTAGGTATATTTAAGAAAAAAATCTAAAGTCTAATACTCCGAAGAGAATACTATTCGCTCAATTAATATCTAAACGATAACAATATATGCTCTTAAATGCACAGGGAAGTTAGTCATCAGTTTCATTTTATTTTACTTCGTTTGACATAGTATTTTAGTTTTGTACTCTAGTCAGTTATTTATATTCTATTCTTCTTCCTTACATCTTAACCGCTAATTTAATTCGTTGTATTTTATTTTTTACAATTATGTGTTTTTTACCATGTCTTTTTTTATAGACATGTAGTCTCTGTGTATGTATGGTGTGTTTGCTTATATTGGATCTTAAGAACATTATATAATAATAATAATAATAATTAACGTCTTTTACTTGTAATATTCTTACAGGAGACGTGATTTAGATAATATATCTATTCTACCATCGAACCCCCTTAATACGAGATGTAAAAAAATTATTGAAAATTAATGCCAGTATATAATACCGACAGAATAAACAAGTATAATCTAAGTAAAGGCATAAGGAAAATATGAGGCCACCTATGGGTTACAACAGATTTCGCTGCTGATCAAGTAGAACTTCTTTCACTTTTTTCTTGAATTTGAGTAATGGATTGGTTTCTTTTAAGCTGCGGTCTAAAGAATTATATGGTTTGATCGCATTGTAAATATATGTATTCCGAAATAGAGATGTGCTGTGGCGTGGAAATTGTAAAAGTCTCTCTATATCTAATATTAATGCCATGCATATTCCCTCTACGTATGAATTTGTTTACTAAATATGACGTTATTTTTGAATAAAGAACCTTATGAGTCAGATTTAGAAGCTGGTACTTATGCATTTTATCAATTTTCATCCGTTTGAGTTCATTAATGGCATTCGATATATGATCATACTTTCTGAGACCATTTACAAGTCTGCGACATGTATTCATAATACTTTGAATACCAGTTCTTGTTATAATATCTAAATAGGGATAGTAAACCACTAAGCAATACGATATCTTTGCAAACAAGAAAGATTCACACAATTGCTTTCTAGCAGATTTATGTAATATAGCCTTATTTGCAAATAAAACTCTGAGAATAGCGTAGCACTGAGAAACTAGATAGTTTAAGTGTGCAACAAATTTTAAGTCAACATCCATTGTAATACATAGGTTCTTCGAATGATCCACAGGAACTAATTTATTACCTTTTAAATGTATCTCTATGTCCTTTTTTAAATACTATTTTTTGTTCTATTTGCGTATTCCAACATATTTGTCTCCAAAGGGTTCAAACGGAGATTATGACTACTACTGAACTTTTCAATTTGGGCAAGATCTTGATTATTTTTATTATTTGCTGTCTCCAAGTCATTACTCCTAAATGAATAGAAAATTTGAGTATCCTCTGCAAAAAAATGTATGCTGCATGATTTTACCTCTGTTTCTAAATCTCAGATACATAATAAACATAATAGGGGTCTTAAGACTGATCCCAGTGGTACACTAGAACACATTTTTTGTTCGGTAGAGTACTGTTGATTTAGACGAACTTTTTGATACCGATTTTCAAGTTAGGTTTGAATAAACGAAAGAGGTTTTACAGAAAATCCATAATAACTGCATTTAGACACAAGTGAGTGAGTAAAGTCAAGAAGTATGAGAGCTACTGCTTTTTGATTATCAAGTGCCATTGTTATATTGTCTGTTAGATCACAGAGTGCCGAAGCTGTATTATGACCTTGTCGAAATCCAGATTGTTAGATGGAATAAGTTTGTAAGCGCAGAGCTGCTCATAAACAACGCGTTCCAATACTTTAGAAAAAATTGGCAGTAGACTGATCGGTCTCAGTTGGTAGGATCAGAACACTTACGTAGCGGAACAACTATAGCGCGTGTCCACTGATTGGGGAAATATCCCCTCTCTAAACAGCAGTTGATATATATGTCTTAGTGATGTTAATGTTCATCTTTTTCTTCACATGTTTTGCATGTATAAATAAGTTTTTTGACGTATTCGATGTCATTTTTCAAGGATCGTTTGAATAAACAATATCTATGTATCTATTTGTCATCATTGGCCGCTGTCTCACAGCAGTCATTAACGCGATTTGCCGGCAGATGATTATCACAACGTGCTTGTATTATGTTTTGATCACAACTGTACATTCTTCACACTGCCCAGACATTAACGACATTGTTCTACTTATCGTCGTTGCTCGTAACACCTTCAAAACAAATAGTAACATTATCTGTTTAAAACTCTTGTCTTACCTGTTTATGCCTCAACTCATTTGGTGCTTCCATTCAGTGTTACAGAAAATGATATCGCGCCAAATAATCGACTTGCACTCAGTAAGAATTACAATTTCGCATGCCTTTAATAAGCGCTTTGCCACACAGTTAATGAACTAGTCAATGCCATCGCTCACAAAATGGCGGCGTTTCCATGGGTCTGACTGTGGCCTCAACCTTGAGGTGGAGGATTTGCGTGTGAAATCCGCCACCTAGATGAGATTTAAATAAAATGCCAATCGATATGATTATGTTTTCTAGGTGGCCACTGTTGCCAGCCCGGATAAGAAATCATCGTACTGAATCAAAGCTACTAAAATTGACAAGAAAATAAAAATATTTAAAATGTCTGTGCGAAAACTAAAACTTTTTTTTAGGAGCTCCGCCAAAGTTGATTTCTTATTACGTGAGTATTATCTAGAAAACTTTAACGTTATGGTTCTGGCCGTGATTCACAGTGCTCATAGCTATCAAACGCGGAATGTATTATTCGAACACTAGGAACTATCTTGGCAGCAAGTTGATATTTTGTCGTTTTTTTATGTTTTACAGTATTTTCATGTAACGACCGTGCGGATAGTACGTCACTATTAATGCTTATTGATTTTTTTCTCACTATTTACAATTACTATTTTTTTTTCTATATGGTAGAAAGATCCGAATTCTGTCGTTTGTTAGTAAAGCAACTAGAATTTTGTTGAAGTTCTATGTATTTTTTGTGTGCTTATCTTGGCAATATAAACCATGAGTTCTTCAAGCATGCCGAACGTAAGGCACAAGTTAGTCCCTCTGAGCTAGCTGCAAACATGTATAAAGAAACTTAAATGGATCAAGTCAGCCAAACAGACCCATACAATTAAACTCCTGTTTAATAGCGCTTTCGCTAGTACCTCTCCTGCCCTAAGTATTGACCATCTGGCAAAGGTGCTGAACCACAATAGTCGAGCACGTTACTATAACTCGAAGGAAGATATATACAGGGTGACCGCAAAGTTGGGGTTTTCCTTTACACGACGTGTAGATCTTGAAAACATAAGCAATTTTTCTTAGTACCATATACACCAATGTCTTAAGGGAACCGAGATAAAGGGCTCTGCAACATCAAAAATATCTGAATACCGTCCTGTAGCCGCGACCCGGGACATCACCGATTGGTACAAAGGTCTCAACCCGACGGCAGAACTGGGTCGGGGTCAGTGTGTAAGGTCAGTATGCAACCTTCAACCGACGGTTACGGTCACGCATGTAGAGGTAATCGCGTAGACGAGAATCCCTCAACAAGCACTAGAGACGTGGCTAGAGAAGTGCAAGTATCAAAAACTAAAGTGTGGCAAACGCTGCGTGAAGAGGGGCTGTATCTGTTTCACGTCCAACGTGTACAAGCCCTTCAACCTGACGATTTTCCAGTAAGATTGCGGTTTTGCGAGTGGTTGAGGCATCAACATGACAATAATCCGGACTTTTAGAAGTGCAGATTGGTGACAGACGAATCTACGTTCACGCGTAATGGGGTGAATAACTTTCGCAACACTCATGTTTGGTCAGTAGAAAATCCGCACGCTGTCCGTTGGGCACATTTTCAACAAACATTTTCGGTGAATGTTTGGGCTGGCATGGTGAACGGTATGCTCATTGGACCATTTATTCTCCCAAATCGATTGGACGGGATGCAATACCTAGACTTTTACGCAACATTTTGCCTTCCTTGTTAGAAGATGTGCCATTAAGTGTAAGACAATCAATGTGGTTTCTGCGTCTGCTCGGTAGCCCTTCAGCTGATTTCATTTTCTGTTGGAGCGGTATGATTTCGGGCAGAGACGTACTTAGCCCTTCTCGTCAACTGGAGAGTGAGTACTTTTTCCTTTATTTTTTTTTACTTGGTCGCCCTCGTTTCACTACACATTACCTTTGTTGCTTCAAGGGTAGTTGTTTCTGAAAAGGAAAACCCCAACTTTGCGGACACCCTGTATAGCGTATATATATATATATATACCTTCCGCCATCCCCTATTACTTTGACCTCTACAAATTTTTTTCTGAAAATAATCAGGAGCCTCTGAAATATCAAAAAAACGATGTTTGATTTTTTCTCAAAAACTATAACGCTCTTTCGTCCTTGCCATAGTAGTAAGCTTGTGTAAAAATTTCATCAAAATCACAGGAGTATATATCTATATGATACTTCCTCACCAATAGGTATGGAATGTAAAAGGTACAAAATTTAGAAAAAAATGTTTTTTTGAATTTCACAAAGTACACAATACTTAAAAAATTTGTAATGAACTTACAGACTTGATCGATGATCCTCTGCCTAACTAAATAGCTGGGTTGACAACCAGGCTGAAGTGCTCTACCACCATTGGGATAGAAATCTGCATGTCCCACAGAAATCGGAAGCCCAAAAATACCCGAATCTGTGTGGATAACGTCTACGTAATCTGCGTCTGATGCTGTTATTCTCCTGGAAGTATCTGAAAATAAAAAGATTAGTTAAAATTAAACTTTCAATGCACATAGAGCAATACTCCAGGTAAATATTTGCATTAAAAGTACCGTTATCTAAGCACAGAAATATAAAATATCGCATCGAGGCTTGCAGAACAATAGCTACTACGTTGAACACACTACAAAATAGAAAAAAGTAACATGGCGTCATAAACAGAATTGTTTCGAAAATAAAAAATAACACCCATGTAACCAAATTCGTATATACAAGATATCTAAAAGCTCCCGAAATATCATCATAATTCTTGTTGCCTTATGCTTTTTAAGGCCATTCCAGGAACTATTCGAATATGTGAAAGTTCAAATTCAAATTCAAATTCAAAATATTTATTTCGTCATGAATAAACATCATAAACAAAGAAAATTCTACAATATAGAGCAATGACGAAAAAGGATAGTCTCTCGATTATAAAACCGATACATTGGACACTTTAATACAAAGAGTCCATGCGAGAAAGCCCTGAACACCCTAAAAATCCTTAAACAAAATAGAAAAAAACAATAAAAAGGCAAATGAAAAGGCGGTGAAACACAAAAGGGTAAAAAGAAAAACAAATCTATACAACTTGGACAGTTCGGATACATTGTCAAAAAATCAGAACACAGAGTTGGAATATTACCATACCACACCTAGGCAATGCAGAATGATCACTATCTACATACTACTGGGTATCCAGGAATAAATTTCCCTTTTTAAAGGCTAATAAAAAATGTAATTTGGAGTTTTAAAATTAATTTGTTGAAGCAATAATACACACAATGTAGGATAGATCAACATCTTAAATGGAAGCAACATGTGCTTAGGTTAGCTAACAATCTACGAAAACTAATTAGAAAATTTTACATGATCAAAGAAATGTTGAACAATCACTTATTAATCTGTGTGTATAAAGCCCTAGTGGAGGTTAAGTAATAATCTACGAAAACTAATTAGAAAATTTTACATGATCAGAGAAATTTTGAACAATCGCTTATTAATCTGTGTCTATAAAGCCCTAGTGGAGGTTAAGTAATAATCTACGAAAACTAATTAGAAAATTTTACATGATCAGAGAAATTTTGAAAAATTACTTATTAATCTGTGTCTATAAAGCCCTAGTGGAGGTTAAGTAATAATCTACGAAAAGTAATTAGAAAATTTTACATGACCAGAGAAATTTTGAACAATCACTTATTAATCTGTGTCTATAAAGCCCTAGTGGAGCTTAAGTAATAATCTACGAAAACTAATTAGAAAATTTTACATCATCAGCGAAATTTTGAACAATCACTTATTAATCTGTGTCTATAAAGCCCTAGTGGAGGTTAAGTAATAATCTACGAAAACTAATTAGAAAATTTTACATGATCAGAGAAATTTTGAAAAATTACTTATTAATCTGTGTCTATAAAGCCCTAGTGGAGGTTAAGTAATAATCTACGAAAAGTAATTAGAAAATTTTACATGATCAGAGAAATTTTGAACAATCACTTATTAATCTGTGTCTATAAAGCCCTAGTGGAGGTTAAGTAATAATCTACGAAAACTAATTAGAAAATTTTACATGATCAGAGAAATTTTGAACAATCACTTATTAATCTGTGTCTATAAAGCCCTAGTGGAGGTTAAGTAATAATCTACGAAAACTAATTAGAAAATTTTACATGATCAGAGAAATTTTGAACAATCACTTATTAATCTGTGTCTATAAAGCCCTAGTAGAGGTTAAGTAATAATCTACGAATACTAATTAGAAAATTTTACACGATCAGAGAAATTTTGAACAATCGCTTATTAATCTGTGTCTATAAAGCCCTAGTGGAGGTTAAGTAATAATCTACGAAAACTAATTAGAAAATTTTACATGATTAGAGAAACTTTGAAAAATTACTTATTAATCTGTGTCTATAAAGCCCTAGTGGAGGTTAAGTAATAATCTACGAAAAGTAATTAGAAAATTTTACATGATCAGAGAAATTTTGAACAATCACTTATTAATCTGTGTCTATAAAGCCCTAGTGGAGGTTAAGTAATAATCTACGAAAACTAATTAGAAAATTTTACATGATCAGAGAAATTTTGGACAATCACTTATTAATCTGTGTCTATAAAGCCCTAGTGGAGGTTAAGTAATAATCTACGAAAACTAATTAGAGAATTTTACATGATCAGAGAAATTTTGAACAATCACTTATTAATCTGTGTCTATAAAGCCCTAGTGGAGGTTAAGTAATAATCTACGAAAACTAATTAGAAAATTTTACATGATCAGAGAAATTTTGAACAATCACTTATTAATCTGTGTCTATAAAGCCCTAGTGGAGGTTAAGTAATAATCTAAGAAAACTAATTAGAAAATTTTACATGATCAGAAAAATTTTGAACAATCACTTATTAATCTGTGTCTATAAAGCCCTAGTGGAGGTTAAGTAATAATCTACGAAAACTAATTAGAAAATTTTACATGATCAGAGAAATTTTGAACAATCACTTATTAATCTGTGTCTATAAAGCCCTAGTGGAGGTTAAGTAATAATCTACGAAAACTAATTAGAAAATTTTACATGATCAGAGAAATTTTGAACAATCACTTACTAATCTGTGTCTATAAAGCCCTAGTGGAGGTTAAGTAATAATCTACGAAAACTAATTAGAAAATTTTACATGATCAGAGAAATTTTGAACAATCACTTATTAATCTGTGTCTATAAAGCCCTAGTGGAGGTTAAGTAATAATCTACGAAAACTAATTAGAAAATTTTACATGATCAGAGAAATTTTGAACAATCACTTATTAATCTGTGTCTATAAAGCCCTAGTAGAGGCTAAGTAATAATCTACGAAAACTAATTAGAAAATTTTACATGATCAGAGAAATTTTGAACAATCACTTATTAATCTGTGTCTATAAAGCCCTAGTGGAGGTTAAGTAATAATCTACGAAAACTAATTAGAAAATTTTACATGATTAGAGAAATTTTGAACAATCACTTATTAATATGTGTCTATAGAGCCCTAGTAGAGGTTAAGTAATAATCTACGAAAACTAATTAGAAAATTTTACATGATCAGAGAAATTTTGAACAATCACTTATTAATCTGTGTCTATAAAGCCCTAGTAGAGGCTAAGTAATAATCTACGAAAACTAATTAGAAAATTTTACATGATCAGAGAAATTTTGAACAATCACTTATTAATCTGTGTCTATAAAGCCCTAGTAGAGGCTAAGTAATAATCTACGAAAACTAATTAGAAAATTTTACATGATCAGAGAAATTTTGAACAATCACTTATTAATCTGTGTCTATAAAGCCCTAGTGGAGGTTAAGTAATAATCTACGAAAACTAATTAGAAAATTTTACATGATCAGAGAAATTTTGAACAATCGCTTATTAATCTGTGTCTATAAAGCCCTAGTGGATGTTAAGTAATAATCTACGAAAACTAATTAGAAAATTTTACATGATCAGAGAAATTTTGAACAATCACCTATTAATCTGTGAGTATAAAGCCCTAGTGGAGTCATTACTCAGATACGGGATAATTATCTGGGAAAGTTTATATGAGACAGCATTAAAACCTTTAAAAACTATCCAGAATTGCATATTAAAAATAATTTTTAGAAAAAACAAAAGATATCCTACTTGTCATCTTTATAGTGAAAAAATACTTGCTGTAAGACCATTGTATATTTTAGAAGTCTGCTCTTTTATGTATAAAAATCCTTTAATAAGAGAATATGTTAGTCATCCTTATTCAACCATAAACAATGCTGATAGAAATCTAATAATACCCAATAGTTTCACAAACATAAACTTAAGATCAATTGACTATATTGGTCCGAAAATCTACAGCATTTTGCCTGGGACACTGAGGATGATAAATAAATTTAAATTGCTTAGTTCAGAGTGTAGAACATTTGTTGTGGCAAATGTTTTGACCATTTTTTTATGTTTTTTTTTAGGAATTTAAATTCTGAGTTGGTTGATTTTTGTCCTTGTTTAAGTGGCTACAAATGAATTGGCATGACATTATAATGATATAGATTGTCAAATAATTATTTGACCTGGATTTATTTTGTTTTATTTATTTTACTATTTTATTATTAAAATGTTACATTACATATTATTTAAGATTGGTTCATACGGATATTAAGTTATCTAGGTACCACATAAGCGAAAATATACATGTTTTATTTTAGTGTAATATACAAACCACTGTATATTTCGCCATCACTTTGTAATATATTGTATTGTATTTTATGTTTTAAACATTACATTTTCGAGGTGCTTTCCATTTCGGTCGGTTCATGTGGTTAAAAACTAATGCGGGTATAATTCAGAAATAATTTCTCTAATTTCTTCCCATATTTTTTGTTTAGTCCTTGAAAAGTCCTAGGCCGATTAACATAAGCTTTACTACTTTTAAGGTGTTCCCACAAAAAAGTCCAATGGGGTGAGATCTAGAGACCTAGCTGGCCAGTTTAGGTCTCCAAAGCGAGAGATGACCTTTACCGGGAATAATTCTCGAACGACTTCCATAGGTGCTCGGGCTGTATGTGCGGTAACGCCGTCTTGTTGAAACAATATATCTTGATCAAAGCCATCAAATTCTTGTAGCTGAGGTACCGAAAACTCCCGAAGCATTGCACAATAACGATCACTAGGTACAGTCTGGGCTATGCCACGTTGGTTCTCAAAAAAGAAGAGACCGATAATTCCTGAAGTCGACATTGCACAACACACAGTTACTTTTAGGCTATGCAGGGGCCTTTCGTGTGTTTGCCTTGGATTCTCTGGGACTGCGCCTGAAAGGTAAAAGTGCGCCTCGCCACTGAACAGAATGTTGTTAATTCTGCCGTTTGAAAAAAACGGTTTATCATTGTTTCGGTGAGGGAACGACGGTTCCTAAAGTCATTTGGGTTTGATTCTTGCCACCTGTGATGTTCTACGAACAGATCCACTTGGATTTTGAATTATAGCGG